TCTTTCATGCTCCCCCTCCCCTCTCCCCCCCCCTCTCGTCTTTCCCCCCCGTAGATGAGATCTCCCTCCTGGAGGGGTTGACCATTGTCTATAAGAGCAGCATCGACCTCTTCTTCTACGTGGTGGGAAGTGTTCAGGAGAATGAGGTGAGCTCAGCCACATCGTCAGGTTTCCTTTCCCTCCAGGAGTTGAATGATTGAAGGCTGTATAGAGAGTAGTGCCCTCTACAGGTGGTGACGTGTTCCTTAACAAAAAGAGCATGAATTAGTGTAAAAAAAAAAACCATTAGAACCAAATTTAACAAATCTGAACATTCCTGTTGTTGAAAGTGATTTTTTAAAACATTTTTTATCACTTAATTTTCTGATTGTCCCCCCAGTGGTCATTGTGAGGAACTACAGTAACACTCTTTTCTTTCCTCAGTTGATGCTGATGTCGGTGCTGAACTGCCTGTTCGAGTCCCTCAGCCACATCCTCAGGTGAGCAGACGGAGGCTTTTTATTGGCCACATGTCACGGACGCAGTGGAGCCTCAGTCCTTATGTTCAGCCACACAAATACTCACTGACAGCTGATGTAAAACTCAGTACTAGTTCCAGGTTTCCCCTTGAACTTGTGTCACGCATTAACTCCTGTTTGAAAACGTCCCCTCCGTCTCTGTGTGACTTATCGTGACTTTTCTCTCCAGGAAAAATGTGGAACGGAAATGTTTACTGGACAACATGGAAGGAGTTTTCCTGGTTGTGGATGAAATCATCGATGGAGGGTAAAAAAATGAAACAGTTCTGTTACTTCCTGCACATAGTGTCAACTACCTCCTCTGCAGGGGGCGCTGTAGTCACAGATTTACTATCATTATTTTTTTTATTGTGATTTTGTGATGAATGAAATTCAATGTTTACCCGGTCTTTGACGGTTCTTGAATTTGATTGGCCGCCTCCTGTTGTTGTCAGGGTGATTCTCGAAAGCGACCCCCAGCAGGTGTTACAGAAGGTCAACTACAGGGTAAGAAAACTGCCCCATTGCCCCTGGCTTCTACTCTGATCAACTTGTGTTGTTGTAGCTTTTTCTCCTCTGCTTCCTGCCTCTCTTTACCCACTTCCACCTTTCTCTCCCCTTCTCCCTTTGTCTCAACTTCTGATTGGTTCAGCTCATGTCAGAGCCAGCCTATGGCTTTGTCCTGTTAGATTACATCACTGGTAACCTGGAAGCTCAGACAGACAGAAGCCAGCTGCTGTAAATGAACAGACAGAGGGTGAGAGAGACAAAGAGTGAGGAGGGCGAGAAACTGAATGAGTGAGAGTGTGATGGAGGCGGTGGACGAGTGGAGGGGAGACGGGGGACACGGGGGAGACAGACGAGGTAAACGCACGGTGAGACGTGAGCATGACGACTAACTGTTAAAACAAACCAGCAGGTGGTGCCACAGGTAAACGCTAGAAGTGCCCCCTGGTGGTTGCGCCAGGTTGTGCTTCCATTGAAGATGGAAGACTATGCAAAAATTATCACAGGCATTCAAATAAAAGGCAAATTATGTTTTAAAAAAATAGAGGCAAAGACAGAACAGGAATAAAAGTTTAAAAAAAAAAGTCCAGGGCTTAATGATTAAATACAAAATACAACATTTTGGCTCAGTGGATTAGAATGAAGACTGTTGTATTCTATAACTGTGTAGACTATGATTGGAGGAGGAGGAAAGTGAAAGATAAAGAACAGAAACTGATGAGGATGATGTTGATGTCTGAGTGGAGGAGCACGTGATTGGACGGGCCAATCACAGGCGACAGGTTTGGATCTTTGGACCCAACGTCCACAGAATAATCCTGTTCTCCAGAGTTTCTGTGTTTGATCCATTAATCCACCTAATCCCACAGTCTGTGGTGTGTGCTGCTCTGCCTTTCTCTGTGTGTGTGTGTGTGTGCGTGCGCGTGTGTCGTCTTTGTCGTCGACTGCATCTTCATCTGTTTCCTGACCTCTGACCTCACTGTTGTCAATGTGGTTCACAGGCGGACGAAAACCCATTATCGGAGCAAAGCGTCGCACAGGTAACTCACACAGACACAAATACACCCCAATGGCACAATGTTACACGCAGTATTGTGTAGTAGTACATAGTACATGTCTAGTACTTTTCCTCAGCTGAATACTTAGATACAAAACAATGGTGGGCATGAAAAGTCTTTAAAATAAAAAAAGAGATTAATTTGATTCACTGTAAAAAAATAAAATTCTACTTTTGCAAAAGAAAAAACTCGTAGATAACAGAAAAGTCTGAATTATAGACTCGTGGTATTCCACAAAAAGAGTTTGGATTGGAGCTTATTTGATGTTGGCGTCTCTCAAATGTGTCGTATTTACAAACAGACATCAGTTCTGCAGGATATTTTGAATCCCTCTGACAACATCTGCTGTATGTTTGCTTTTACTAATCATTAACATCTGGTTTCCTGTAGAGAAGATACACAAGTAACAATAATGACCTGAAACTGTCCACTCACGTGCATGTCTTTGTACAAACATCTGCTCTTTTATTAATCTTTAGAGGTTATTGGGATACATTTCTTTTCTTCACAAACTTCATAGTTCAGTATTGATTCTGCAAACGGTACAAATAAATGACCATTTCTGCCATTCATTCATTTAACATTACATTTTATTTAAATAAAATTTAAGTAAAAATTAAATAATAATTCAATTGTTCTTGTATGTATGTATGTGTGTGTGTGTGTGTCATAGTCTAAGCTGCTTCTTTATCTGTTGCTCTAACCCTCACAGCACATAACAGAGAAACTGGCCTTGACATCTAACGTAAGTCACTCTATGACAACTCCTTCACTGCACTCTTAGACTCAGGATACACTAACGCAGTTCCATACAGCAGGTGCTTTGTTCAGGTGAACCAGTTCTACGTTTCTTTAGAACAATACAAACAATAACAATTTTTGCTCGATTGTAGACAAGAAAATGCATTTAAAAGTATGAACTAAATAGGTTTAATACAAAAAATTTCAAAAAATATTCTCTAAATTCCCTAATTTGATGAGAAATATGCAGGAAAAGATACGATTTTGAAAATAATTTTACGCAGATTTTCATCAAAAAAAACGAAAACTTTAAATTTTGACAATAATTTTACGCAGATTTTCATCAAAATTTGATTGAAATTTGACCAAAAATGACACGAAAACTTTAAATTTTGACAAAAAGATTTAATACAAAATATTCAAAAAATTGTTTTCTAAGTATCATCAAAATTTTACCAAATTTTACCAGTATTAACAAGAAAACGGTGTCAAATTTTGACACAAAAATGAACAGAAATAAAATTGTTTAAAAAAATGATTTTTTAATGTCCTTTTTCGATGAGAAACATGCAGGAAAAGATTAATTAAAAAAAATGTATAAAACTTTTCATCAAACGACCAAATTTGATCAAAAATGAGTAGTAAAATTTAGATTTTGACAAAAATTAGTACAAAAACCCTTATTTGATGGAAAATATGCAGGAAAAGATTAAACGATTTAATACAATGTTTTAAAAAATGTTTTTTAAATGCCCTAACTTTATGAGAAACATGCAGAAAAGGTAAAATGTGGAGAAATAATTTTACAAAGACTATTTTAAAAAATTTCATTGAAATTTGACATTCAAACTTCAGATTTTGCATTAAATATCTTAAATTTGTGAGAACCATGCAGAAAAGACAAAAAACAAAAAAAATCTCCCTAAACATTTTTCAAAATTCTTTAAAAAGTTCTGAAAAAGTTTTTCATAACTAACTTTTTTTTTTTAAAAATTCAAAAATTTTTCACGTTTCCCCCCCAAAAAATGCAAAAATAAATTCTGTTTTTTAGAAATTTTTAGAAACCTTAATAGGCTTCGTAGTGTTCTAAAAATTGTTAAAAACATTTTTCAAATTTTCCCGATAAAAACTTTCTAAAAATGTTTCAAAAACGTTTTTTCAAATAATCTTCCCAAATCTTTTTTTCTAAAATTGTTTTTTATTTTTCCCTGAAATATTTTTTTGAGTTTTCAAAATATTTTCCCCCCAAATTTTTTTCTAAAACTAAAAAACCTTTCTGAATTTTTTTGAAAGTTTTTTTCAAAAATGTTTCACACAAAACATGCCAAAAATATTATTCCAAAAACTTTTTTAGAAAAAAATTTTTTTTAGAGAAAACAAAGGTTTAAAAAAATTTTTTTTTCTATCTTTTCACTTGGCAGCATGTTTTTCACGATGGTAAGTCTAGAAAAAAAACTTTTTAGAGAAAAAATTTAAAAAAAAAATTTTTTTAGAAATTAAAAAAAAAATTTTATAAAAAAAATGTTTTTAGAAAATTTTTTAGAAAAAAACGTTTTCTAAAAAATATTTTTTTTTTATTTTTTAAAAATGTTTTTTCTAAAAATGTTTCAAAAAATGTTCTTCCTGAATATTTCTTATATTGTTTTAAAAACATTTTCGAACACATTTCAAATTTTAACCCAAAAATGTTTTCCCAAAAATTCTCCCCAAAATTTTTCCCAAAAAAAAGTTTTCTAAAAATTGTTTTTTTCTAAAACTGGTTTACACAAAAACATGCAAAAAATTTTCTTCATAAAGAAATGCAAAAATAAATTATATTCTACAGTTTTTAGAAACCTTAGTTTAAAAAAATGTTCTAAAAAAGATTTTTTTAGAAAAATTTTTTTTTTCCGAATTTTCTGAAAACATTTTTAGAAAATTTTTTTTAGAAATATATTTTTAGAAAAAAATTCTTTTAGAAAAAAAATTATTTTTTCTATAAATTTTTCTAAAAATTTAGAAAAAAATTCTTTTTTTTAAATTTTCCCAATAAAAACTTTCTAAAAA